GGATTCCTGCGAACGATAGCAAGCTCGTAGAATATTTCGCCAGATATGGATAAGTGATTTACACTGCGATTCGACGAATGTGACTGTGAATGAACTTTGAACGACTCTGTACTCGAAGAGTGAAAATAAGAGTGAAATAAACTGTGAACTCTGTTGAGAGTTATAACTTTTGCTTATCAGTTTGCTAAATTATAATGTTAACATTCTCAGTCGTAACTACCGTTTATTATTTTATCTCTTTGTTTCATTCGTTCACGTGTAGTACTTTCTCTCTCACTGAAATAATTCTGCCACAAAATTCTCGTTTTTCGTATTCACTTTCGTCGAACCTAGCGCAACACGATAGTTTGTCGCTGTTTCGCGACGTACGGCAAGTTTGATTATCCACATAGTGCAAAGTTCGAGACGTCGGACGACAGATGAAATCACTCGATCTTGTCAAATGATCTCAAGAGTGAAGATAATTTCTTTTTAGCGAGATATTTCTTTTAAAGAGTGAGAGACGTTTAAAAAGCTTGACAGGGAAACAAGATCTCGACCAGAAATAATAAATTTGCAATTCTATTGATCGGAGAAAAAGGGTCAGATTATGGCATTTTGCACAGAGAGAGAAAGAGAGAGAGAGAGGGAAAGAGAGAGTAATGTCGAACGTGGAAGAATGCAGCCACGCGTCAGATCGATCTGCCCGTTTTTGTTCGCAGCTTCACGCTGCGTCGCGATCCGATCGGCGCGCGCGATACGGATGAATTAAAGATCGCGGCAAGATATATTGGAATGGCAGCGCGCAATACGCTAAATGAAACGCGGTTCATTATCGATCTTGATGAAACTGCGCTTGCATCTCTCAACTTGCTGCCGCCGTTGTGTGCACGCGTGTACGTGTGTGTCCCTAGGCGTGTACGTATGCGTGTGCATGTGCAGATAATGGCATTGCCGGTTTGCGGTTTGTACCATAGCAGCATTACCTGCCTTAGATGGCTTATTGATTGCCACGACTATGCTCTGTTCTCGTGTTACAACACGAAACACGGAATAAGAATCGCATGCCTCGCGGTTACTCGATCCCTTTACACCTTAAACGTTCTTTCGGCGAAATTTACCCTTTCCTTAATTTCGATCGAACGGAAAGACGAGGACATATATCGGCCGGTAAATTTACTTTCCCCTTAATTTCAACGAGACGAGAGATGTGGAAAAGCGAAAATCAAAGAAATTGAAAAAATTGAATACAAAAAACATGAGGCTTTGCTTCAATATTTTTCCGAAAATGTAGGAACATTTTCACTGCTCCACTCTAGTTCAGATCGAACGTTAACGATCGGAGAATTAAACGAAGATGGTTCGCTCAAATTCGAGTTAAACATTCATAGACCTCGGAGAGGAAGGACGATCTGATACGAAACTAGCTGGGCTGCCGGTGAAATTTATTTGACCGAAGGTAAAAGAGGAGATTCCTTGGGCGCCACTCGATACGTGAAACGGCGCGGAGCGCGGAACTGGCAAATGTAATTTCGCGAAATGCTTCCATTGATATAAGAAGACTCCGGGTACGGTGTCTAGGGATAAGGGCGACGCCGAAGCAAGAAGAAGGATCGCGGAACCGGCGGGCAAAAGGCGGAGGTAGAAAATGGAAGAACCGGAGGAACGGTTGGAGAATGAAGAGAAAAAGAAAGAGTAAGAGAGAGAGAGAGAGAGGGCACAGCATGGCAAAGTCGCAGGAAACTGCAAGCTAGACGGATATATCTCCCGAGTAAATTAAAATGGATTATATATGTCGACTCCGACTTCAATCTTTCTTCTTTTCCTGGCCCCCGCGTACTTCCGCATTATCGCTCGAGCGCCACGCGCAATTGTTACCGGCTCGAAAGGAGAAACTTCCCTAATGAATTTCTAGTTTTTCTTTCTAGTTGTCTTGGACTCGCTGGAAAATTCAAGCACGATATCTAGCTTCGGTATCTAAGAACGGTGGATCACGGGGAATTAGGTCGTAAGTTTTGCTAGAAAGAATTCCCTTTTAAAAGTCTTATCCACGAATAAAAGATTGATAGTACGATTTTCAATATGTCACAAAAATTTCACTAAAGTTTCATTGTTTTTCAACCGTGAAACAGATATAATGCCTGTTCCGAGACTTCTCAGCGGAGACATACATACATACGTACGACGACACGTAGTCCTGAAAGGAGGACAATACTGGAGAAGACTCTCTCTCTGGTCGTTTGAAACAACGTTGCCGAAGTAACGTGTGCGAAGGAACGAACGAACGAACGAAGAGAGAGAGAGAGAGAGAGAGGGAAAGGATAGTGGTAGTAGGTCGGTAGCCACAATTCTGGAAAGCCCAAGTTGGCTGGCATGGAAGGTCGGGACACGGAGTCGACCATGATGTATGCTCCTCTTCCGTCTAATTAAACTTGGGGAGGGTCGCAGAGTTGGTTGGTTGGTCGGTTGGTTGGTACGCTGGCTGGTCGGACAGACGTACATACGGACGGCCGGTGAGGGGCGCCGTCGGGATGGCTTTCAAAATGACAGCCAAGGGGCAAGAGAGAACGAGCGAAAGCGGCTGAAACCCGGTGAGAACTGGCGAACAAGAGACCCAACCGGAGAAAGACATCGCCTCGCCCAACCTTCTCGCCGGGACAACCGAAACGATTTTGTACTCTGACGTGGTGTTACGTCGTCCTCGCTATTTCAACATCCTTGTATCGAATTAACGTCCACCCTTTCTATTCGCCGGCACGTCTAAATTATTCATGTTCTAAGCGGCCTCGAACGACGACAGATAAATCACCGATCTCGCGTCCTGTTTCGTGCGCTACTTAACAGTTCCTCCGGGTTAAACGGATCTTTCTACCGCACGATCGCGACTTTCACCCGATCGACCGTGATTTTCCCTCCGGGGAGTTTTCCACGAAAAGTTCTACACGACATTGCGAATCACCCCTGAACGATATCCGAGTCGACAATATTCCCAGATCGCTGTTGCGGTATTTAGCAAAGACAAAGAGAAGGAAGTTCGATCGTAGAATTTAACTCGAGATCGTGTTTGGTACTCTGCTTCCATCAAATTAATTTAATTTATTATACACGGTCGTAGAGTCGGCCAAACAGTGCACGATATTCGTCTCCTTTGATCACCCACGCCAGCCAAAACACCGGCTAGTTTGTCCCTTTTTGCTCGTCTACGGCCACGACACGTGCTTCCATCCGAGCTAACCGCCACCACGCTGCTTATTCGACCGCCTCTCGTCGTCTATCTATGGATGTATGGAAACTACGCGCGTTCCACTACGATCCAGTATCGCCTTCCTCGTCTTCTCCCTTCCTTTCTCTCTGCGTCAATGCGGAACGCGAGATTGGCGTTGGCTTTCTCGAGCGAGGACAGGTTATTGGCGAGCTCCGACGAATTCCTTGGCGCGGTTCGCCGCGATTTCGAAATGTTTCGCCCGACAGGGTGAAACGACGTGGCCGATGGCCGGCCACGATCTGGAATTCCCGATGAAAACGACGCGACGTCCGGCAACGAGCACGACGACGACGACGACAACGACGACGACGACGACAAAGACAGAAAGGTAGAACGAACGACCACGTCGCGTTCGCTTTCACGGTGATAAATTTACCGACGCGGGCAACTTGCTATTCAAGTTCGGCCGCCGCTTGATTTGTTTGCGCCTCAAAGTAGCTCATTGTTCGGACCAAAAATCACACACACAGACACACACGCGTATATGTTCGGTTCTAGTAAAAGTAAATATGAAATGAAGATACAGTATTGCGTTGAAGTACATCGAAGAGTGAGAATGGCGAAAATCCGTGCGAAACGAGCCAACAGTTGCAACGTGATTGAGCCACACTCGTTTCAGACATCTGTTCCGCAATAATTACCGGCGAAACGGTCTCTCGCGGGGTGAACAAGGAGAACGTTAGCCCTTGTTGCGGCCGTAAGTCATCGCGGCAGAAAGATTAGGACGCTAAATCAAGGCTGTTGAGGCGGTAATTCGTTTGCTAGAAAAAGGGAACGTCGGAAGGAGCTCTTTAAGAGGCTGGCACTCGAGTGAATACACACTTGGCCCGAGTCAGTTACTCTTTCAAGCCGTAATACGTATCCAGCGCGCCGAATGAATTCTGGTTCACGGTACAGTCGCTTAATCGCTCGTAATAACGCCCGAGACGAATGCCCAACTCGCCGAGACGCGTTTTCGTCGACGAAAAACCGCTGTAATTCCTGGCAGTGGATATCGCTTAATAACACAGCCGTAATTCCGAACAAATCATGAAAGTGCACCCTCTCGCGAGAATTAATTTCATTTGCTAGACGTATTTATATTAATTTACAAGGATTCATCACTACGTCGGAATCGGTGAAATACCGTAGCATCTAGTATTTACACTGAAACTCGCGACCAGGGCAGACATACACACGAATACACGGATCAAGACTGAACAATGATTTCTGACTGAACATGTCGGAAATTTAATGTTTCGTTCCTTCGTGCGCTGCAAACGACTCTGATTCGCGATCAATTTGCGACAAAGCAGACGTAAACAAGATTTCGAGATCTACTGGCCGAAGCAAGGATAAAACACGACCGCGAGTATACTCGCAGAGCGCGAACGCGGAGACAGCACATTCTGAAGTAACATTAAAATCCTTTCAAGCGTCGCGGGCCGTTAACCTGCCCGCAAGCTCTTGGAGAACGCGATTAACGGAACAAGAGGAAGACCGTGCTCGCGGTATTGGGGAGCGAAGCTCGTCTTTTCACGACGCGCGATATCGTCATCGCGCAAACAGCGTATATGCATTAAACCATGAACCCACTATCCCCGACGTCATATCCAATACACGTTGTTAGGGGGTTGGTGAAGCCGGCGCTGGAGAAGCGTGGTGGGACCGGGGTGTCGGAGGACGCGGGCGGCCCTGCTGGTTGCGGGGTGGTTTCGAGGGTGGCTGCCAACCATCCCCCTGGTGCGGTAATGGCATTAACCGAGCTGCAATATGATTACCGCTCTCGCAAGGTAACCTGATCACACCCGAAATCTATGGGGTGTCCGTAGTATGAGGGACAATGTACCGTGCTCCGAATTGCCGCGCGCAACGTTACGCAACCGCGGCCACCGGCAACCAACGCACCACACACACATACACTCACTCACTCACTCACTCTCTCTCTCTCTCTCTCTCTCTCTCTCTCTTCCCAGTCCCTTTAATCGCGTTGCGCTTTTTGCGGCTCAGATTACCCGTGAATCATTAGATGGTCGAGGGCCTGCCCCCTATGGGTTACGAGGAGAGGAGGCACCGCGGCCACCGCTCCTTATCTTGGCATTAGGAGATTAGTACGTCCCTCCGTTCCAGAACGCGTTTTTCCGTCTTCTCTTCGCCTTCGCTTTCTTTTTTTCTTCGCTTTCTGCAGCTTAACTGCGACGCCGGGTAAAAGCAATTTAGGAAATGTTTCTTTTTGCTGCGACGTTTCGTTGCGTCGTTTATCTTCGCTTCTCGGTTTTAAGCGCCCGCTTGATAAGTGAATAATCGCGGAGAGGAAGCAGACTGTTCGCCCGTGAGGAAATATTCGATCGGACGATTTTTACGTTACGTTTTTATAGCTTGCGACAAGAGTGAGAGACAAAGCGGTCGTCGACGAGGACGACTTGCGAACAGACACGTAATACAAAAGCCACTTACCGTGAGGTGTTGAAACAGCCACGCCCTGAGGATATTGGTCGCCACTTTGGGGAAGATGCCCCTCTTCTTCTGGTTCTTTTTACCCGACGAGTCGTCGTCTTCCTCGCCGGTGCCCTCGCCGCTGCCGATACTCGCGTTACTCGCGTCACCTGCGGTCAATGGAAATTTCAATTCATTAGTCTTTTATTGGAAAACCTTTAAAGAATACAGAATAACAATCTACGTTACTAACTTTAGAAATTATACGAATTTATAGTATGAAATCACGAGTTTACATTATTTATGGAAACGTTGGCAGATGGTAGAAAATATAAGAGACAACGATAACACTTAACAACATATAAAACACGTCATCTCCCGAAGCGTGTATGTATCGTTAAGGGTGAGATTTCGAAGCACTTTGAACCACATCCCGATTTTCAACGCAAAGTAAACCGAGAGCGATAACCACCTCACCCCTACGACCGGTTCCCATGCATACAAACACCATTAAGCCACCCGCAATCACCCTGTCCCTTTTTCGCTGGATGGCTCCCCCCAACCCCCTAAACGTTCCAGCCCCGATTCCAAGGCCGTCCCTTCGCCCCCCACGCTGTGCTTTCATCTCCCTGGCCGCATTAATTCCCCGTCATTTATCAATCTTAGCTTTTTAATTGCACGGTCACCGGGGACTCGAGCAGCGAGACGGTAATGAGAGATATTAAGACGGCTTACGGTCACGCTTTGCCAAGGCAAATATCATTTTTATAAATTATCGGACCGGAGCTATTCCCAGGTACTCCCCCCCGCCTCTCCTTCAATCCATTTCTACCCTTATTTTCCCGTCAGATCCATTCCTCGCATTAATTAAGAGCCGAGAGAGAGAGAGAGAGAGAGAGAGAGAGAGAGAAAGCTGATGAACTCGTTCGGCAGTACCTCGTCTGGTTGAAATTGATACTTTCGAGAAATGGCCTGAGCCAATGCCGAAGTCAACGCGTTATATAAACTCGAATCGCTCGAAATTCGCTCAGGATTTCAGTGAGTATTACGCGAGGAAGTACATCCACCGAGCAAGCGGCAAGTGGAATAGGAACTTGCCGGTCAGACGCGCAGACCTACGTGTATTCGAATTTATCATCACTTCGATAATCCAAACAATTTCTCGACTCGCAGTACCTAAGCCAAAAGGAAAGCGTTCGTCTCCGAGTGTAGTAGCAGGTATAGAACGAGTACTTCCTTGGATCAGATCCGCTTCGTAAACAGAAGATTCTGTAGCTAGAAAAGCTTCTCCGAGCAAAACTCGAGCCTCGATAAGCTAAACAATAGTTGAGTAACGCTCGACACGCGTCCTGCTTATAAATAACAGACGGGAAAATCGATGGGGATGGGAGGCAGCGATGGTAAATGCGGTCATCGAAATTCACCTGGCGTGCTGGTCGATCGATCTCGGAACGTTCGGAACGGCCGGAAGTCCGAGGTTCCCTTTATTCCTTTCTCTCTCGCGGATCGCCGCGGAAGGAGAACGGGCCGGCTACTTACGCCGACGGATTATAAATGACCGAGCCTTATCGTGCTGCCCAAGGCTCCGGTTTCCCAAGGTTCTATCGTAACAGAGAGATCAGGGTGAGCTGCCGGTGCTCCCAGGGGTTTCACGATGACAGGTCGCCCGGGGGCGCCGACCCACCCACCCCTTCTTCACCCCAGGCCACCCCTAGAGAGCCGAGGAACTCGGTCTCGTGGCCGAGATTAACTTTGAATTCGTCCGGCGAAAAGGGTGGCCGGCAGCAGGACGAAAAATTTGTCCGTCGTAGGAGCGGACGGAGCGAAACGACAGGAGATCGATGGAAATCGGAGTCGTGCACGACGTATCCTCGCGTTTCGGCCTCGGTATCCTCGCCCATCGGCAGCGATCGAGGAGCCAGGGGCGGAGAGAACCGAAGGGAAAAGCGATCGACTTCGATCAGCCTCCGTCGACCACCTGCCATTCGATTTCGCCGGGAGAGATTCCTGATCTGACGGGGAGTCCTGCAGCCTGGAATAATAGACGAGGGGGACGTAGGAATGTTCAATTAAGGATGACGAGGGATTTCTGTTTTTTCTTTTTTCTTTTTTTTTTTTTTTTTTCTTTTTGAACGTCCGCAACTTTCCAACCGCGATCTCCGGTGGTTAGATTGATCGCGAGCGAGTGTTTCGTTCATTGTTTGACACTTTTCTCTAAACAAAAGGCACGTAGGTGCCATTTCTCTATGAATATATACGTATGGGTAAAGAAATTAAATTTCACGCAGTTTTTCTGTCAACAAGACGAAACTCTCTGACTCGCACGAAAATTGCACGTTAGAACTTTGTCGCTCGAGTTCAATCTGATTATGATTTCTATATCCGAAAACTATGTACGAATGAAACGAAGATATATGCATAAAGAAAAAATTAGTAAACCTCTATTACGCGACGAGTTCCAATATCTGCCTTCTTTATATCTCTAAACATTCTCATGATAGAAACCCCGAACGAATCTACATCTCCGATTAGCCACGAATTTATCCTGGAATCGCAAATTGCTCCTAAATGAATGTAGAAATCGGTGCGATAGAACGTGCAGATAGCAACCGAGTATAAACAGTGGTGCAGGAAGTCTAGGCTCATGCAATCGCGCAATAACGGCCAAGAAATCACGTCATCGCGGCGAGCGATTATGGTTGGATTCACAAGGAGCCAGGAGTCTTGGCGTCGATCCGTTTCCCTCTCGAAGAAGGTTGTTTTCGTCCAAAGGATAAAAGAGAGAGAGAGAGAGAGAGAGAGGAAGGGAGAGCAGTTTGTGGTGGTCCTTGCGCTAGGGCAAGGCAAAAAACAACGTTAGGTCCACGCTCGACTCGTTGTCGACTACCGTTGTTCCACGAGCCGTAATGGCGAGCCCGGGACAGGCGAATAGAGCGATCTAGAGGCGCGCGGAACGGCCAGCCAGACCGGCTAGCGGAATAACGGAATGGCCAGCGGACCGTCCCCCTGATTGCAGTTAATTTACTCGCTGAATCGAGTTAATGTAGCGTGCCGATCGTACGCCGCCGTTACCGTGCCCTGACGTATCGGTCGAAGAAGCCGCGCTGCTCTCCGGCTCCTGCTCGTCAGGAATTTCTCATTTCCGCGTGCGCGCGCGCGAGAGAGAGAGAGAGAGAGAGAGAGAGAGAGAGAGAGAGAGAGAGAGAGAAACTAATCTCCACCGAAAAACGAACCTTCTCATCCTGCGCGGTTGCAAGAAACGCAAGACGAACGTCGCGGACTAGACAACGCACTAAAGAGATACGCTCCGTCCGTGGAGACGTGGAATGCGACGATTGTTTTCAAGAAACGTAGAATCGCAGTATCGTGCATACCGAGTGTTATTGATTAATTAAAGCGTCGGATAACAAACGACGCTTAAAGAGATATGCTTTCCGGTTGTTTTCAGAAAAAGAGAACCGAAAGAGTGGAGAAGAAGCAGCGCATGTATAATGTATAATCGTCGATAGCTAGGGATAGCGATTTGCATGCTGATTTGTACACGTTTGTATCGTTTTTTTTAATCTGAAGCGTTAGGCTAATTAACAGCGTTAGGCTAATGGATACGCATCTAATTTCCCACCATGCTGCGGACTGCAATTAAGACCCATGTAATTAAGAATCCTGACAAAGAGAATCCGGTTCGCATATACTCTCGCGCTCTTACAGCCGCAGTTTCGTTTTGGTGGAGCTTCAGTTCGCGCAGAGTTTGCCGTTCTCGGAGGCATTCTCGAATCTGTGACACGTCGAAAACTGAAACTGCATCGTTACGTCAGAACTGCAGCTTAACACTTGAACCCACAACCTCGCTGCAATCGCAGCGGACTGTCGCTTAATAAACGAGTTCTTGCACGCCCGTCCAATCCAGCTACGTCGCTATTCACGCGTAACCACCACACGGCCCACGTGTTCACTGTCACTCAACGAAACCATATTTCTCGGGCTCTCGATCCTCGAGAGTCGCGACGGGCAACCGGCATCGCGATTTTTGATCGACTTGGAAATATCCGGCGAGGGGAGAGACAAGTGTCTCTCCTCGATGTAACCGGGCAACAGCCGCGGGGAATTAAACGCGGCCAGATGAAATTTAACGCGGCGATAAATTCCGGTGGAGGCGGAAAGTCGCGAAAATTGCGAACGGCATGCACATACACACGGCTGGTGCATACACGCCACGCGCGTTCCCATCTACGACGCGTTTACGAGCGACACGGAGCTTCCACGGCTGCAACACCGCTAGCTGGAAGCTATATCGTCCTCGTGTTGATTTACGCGACGCACCGCGCATTTTTACTGCCGCGTTATAGAGATTTAAGTGCAGCCAATTATACGTTTACGCCGGTGGCTGCCGGGGAACATCAGACGGATCCGAGAGGATCCTCGCGTCCTCCGTCGTGGAAGCAACGCTTGGACAGAGAGAAAAGAACGCGTCTCACTTTCTCCCTCTCTCTCTCCCACGTTCGCGCCTGGTGGCTTCTTTCCTTCGAAAGCTGTCGCGGTCTATACTTAGCCGATGGATCAAGAATAAGCGAAGTCTCACGTCGGCCTGACTATACGCTATTTCGAGAGGATCGGCGGACACGGTCGAAACACGCGGCCCTCCCTACGTCGAAGTGGATGCCATCGGGGTAACAGCCTCCTCTGCTCTAACATTTTATCGCGATAGATATAACCCGTGATGGATATCGACGGTGCACGTGCTTTTTCACGTTGCCCTCTGCAGTTAAAGTATCCTGTGTTAGTGTTTTCTCGTCTTTTAAAGGTACTTTGAACTGTGCGAAATATTGCAGAATGTCAGACGAGACGATCTATTTTTTAATCAAAGTCTCTTCCAGATTGGTCATTTGAAATCAAGATGGAACCTTGAAGAAATAAAAAAAAAAAAAAATAGAAGTGAAGCTCTCTCTCTCTCTCTCTCTCTCTCTCTCTCTCTCTCAAGTTGCTTGAACTCAAATTAGTCATAACTTGATTAGCGATCGATACCCAGCTACATTCTTACATCACACTTTTAGCCGTGTAAAAAAAGAATTAACAGGTACCGAGAGGAAAGTCGTGTCATCCTTTATTAAAGCCGAAGAACGATCGAAGAATGGTTAATTACACATGGCGATTCGTTTCGCGATGATAAATA